GACAATCTTGATTATAATCTTATATTAGAACTTGTCTGACTATCTGAACAAGAAATCTTATTAAATGCTTGAAACAGAAGCTTGATATTTTCTAATAATGATAGAATTCATGAAGATGATATTCATAAGACTATGAACCTTACACAGATCTCTGTCAACACTTATAAAATACTCTGAAAAAGAAATCATCATTAAAATCACTGACAGAGTTGCTGACAAGATCATTGATAGCAGAATCATATATCAATCTATTTCATTAGTCTGACTAATATTAAAAAGGCTCTAGAAAGGTTATTCTATATTACAATAACAGATTCTTATACAAAACTCTCTCAACAATATCATGAATATCTAGATGTCTTTTAACAAGATAATAATGCTACAGATCTACCTCTCTTACAAGATTCAGAAGTGAATCACAGTATCAAGTTAAAAGAGAAGAATGATAAGAACTCTGAATCATCATGAGACTCTCTTTTTAATATGTTCTGAGATGAACTTCTTCTTCTTTAAAAGACACTCAATGATCTGTTGAATAAAGAATTCATACACATTAGTAACTCTTTCACTGCAGTCTCTATTCTCTTTGCAAAGAAATCAGGTGAAGAACTTTGATTCTGTGTGAATTATTAAGAATTGAACAGATTAATGATGAAGAACTGTTATTCTTTATCTCTTATCAATGAAACTCTAGCTCACATTGAACAAGCTCAATAATTTACAAAGTTAGATGTTATCATCATGTTTCATAAGATCTGCATCACTGAAGAAGATAAGTGACTTACAGCATTTCAAACATAATATGATCTCTTTGAATGAATAGTCACACTCTTTGAACTAATCAATAATCTCAGTACATTTCAGAAGTATATTAACTGAGCACTCTGAGACTTTCTTGATAAATTTGTATCTGCTTATCTAGATGATATTCTCATCTTCACTGATAGATTCAGAAAGAAATATCAAGAGCATATGTAAAGAGTATTACAATAACTATGAGAAGTAGAACTATCAATTGATATTGACAAGTGTGATTTTGAAGTTGAGAGTATCAAATATCTGGGTTTTATTATAGAAGCTGGCAAGGGAATTCAAATGAATTCTGAGAAAGTCTCTGTCATTCTTGAATGAGAAGCTTTATATACTGTGAAAGATGTATAAAGCTTCATCAGATTTGCTAACTTCTATCAGTAATTTATACAAAACTTCTCAGATATTGCAAGATCACTTACAGAACTTATCAAGAAGAACTCAGTATTTCAGTGATCAGTGAACACTGAAGCTGCATTCACACAGATGAAGAAGATGTTCATCAATATCTCTCTGCTAATGATATTTGACTCTGATTGTGAAACAGTTATTGAAGCTGATTTCTCTGACTACATAATAGAAGAAGTGATATTGTAATATGATGATGAAGATGTTTCATAATCATTTGTCTTCATATCTAAGAAACTAAGTCTCACTGAATGCAATTATAAGATCTATAATAAGGAACTTCTCATAATTGTACACTATCTAGAAAAATAAGAGTTCAAACTCTGAAGCATCTCTGAATTTGAGATAATCACAGATCATAAGAATCTCAAATACTTCACAATCACTTATAAACTCACTGAACAACAGATGTGATAGTCTGAATTTCTAAGTCACTTTCATTTTATAATACACTACTGCCCCGGCAGCCAGAACTCAATGACAGACACCCTCTCACGATGAGAACAAGATATACTGTCTGATGTGACAGATACACACTGAATGAACTGAGAACACCAGCTCTTAGATCTGAAGATATTGATTGATCAAGATAGAATAACTCATGACACTATATACACTTCTCTGATTAGAACACTCTCTCTTTGAACTGACACTGACATTGATATCTTCACTTCCTCTACACTGAATGAACTGTGGCATATAGCAGCTCAGGCTGATGAACTTCTTCAGACTCTCACTAAAGCAGTATATCAAGAAGCACTCTGATTTCCCTCAGAACTACATATAAGAACTGATATCTCAGAATGTTCAATCAATGATAATAACACTCTACAATTCTGTGAACAACACTGAGTCTCTCACTCTGAACTCTTATACACTCAGATAATGCAAGAGATGCATGATTCATGTATAATCAGTCATTCAGGCTGTGAACAACTGTATAGAATGATCTCTCAAGAGTTCTACTGACCTGAGATATTAAACAGCATCAGATACTTTATCTGAAACTGTAATCACTGTTCTTCTGTTATCTTATGAAAGAACTGTAGAAAAGATCTATTAAAATCACTTAATATCTCTGATAGAATCTGGTAAGATGTAGCAATTAACTTCACTATTGATCTGTCTGAGAGTAAGAGTTATAGAAACATTCTGATCATTATGAATTGATTGAGCAAAGATGTAATATTGAAGCCTTGTGATAAAATAAATACTGAATAAGTCACTGAAGCTTTTCTACAGAGCCTGTTCTATTAGATGCATGAATTACTGAGATCTATAGTATCAGATCAGAGCTGTCAATTCATAAGTACTCTCTGAACAAGAATCTGTCAAGTTCGCAAGATTATACACTGTCTATTAACTGTCTATCACTCTGAGACTGATGATGCATTAAAACAGATAATTCAGACTGTGAAGAATTATCTTTATAAGTTCTATAATCACTTATAAGATGATTGATATGATCTTCTTCTACACACAGAGATCACTATCAATGATTGAGATGCTGTTTTAACAGGTGTAAGCCTGTTCTTTCTTACATATGATTATCACATGAAGGTGTTAGATCTTCTAGAGATCATACAGTTCATATCAAACCTCTGCAGTTCAATTCAGATCACTGATAATATGGTAACAAAACTCTGAGACATCTGTGATTAAGTAGAAGTCTTCATGACAAGCACTAAACAGAATCAAGAAGATCAAATCAATGTTTATCAAGATTTCACTGAATAATATAAGATAGAAGATCTGATATGATTAAATCTTAAGAATATATAAATCACACATTCATCTCATACACTAGATTATTATCACATCAGATATAAAGTGATAGAAGTTCTAGATAGTCACAACTACTGTCTTAACATATCATCAGAGATTTATAATATCTTTCATACAAGCTTACTTCACTGCACTATCACTGACTTATTTCCTTCTCAACTGACTTCTGACTAGCAACCGCCAGGGATCATAGAAGAAGATAATGAGCTTGAGTGAGAGATTGAAGATATTCTCAATGAGAGATCACACAGCTGTGACTGATAATATCTTATGAAATGAGTCAGCTATGATCAACTGATCTGAACTCTGAGTTTCACATTATTTAAAACAGTGACTCTTGACTGATGAGAACTGCTTCTGAAAGAGAGAAACTAATGTGACAGGCTGTGCCTGATCAATCATATAGACTATTCTGTTACACTTCATAGATTTCAACTACTTCATTCTCAAATATATATACTCTGATTCTCAGTTATTCTTGATCATCAATTCTCAGCTGCTATGAATATGTATACTCTGATTCTCAGCCATTCTCAATCACTGATCCTCAGCCGCTATAAATATGTATAGATTCTTCTGCTCTGAAGTCTCACTGCATACATCATCACATACATGTATAAATATTCACTCTGATTGCTGATTCTCACACTTTCTCTTTCTTTTCTTCTTTAATGTTTTTCTCTTTGTTATATAAGACCTATTAATATAATACCGATCTATTCAGCGTAGGCCTCTTACAGTTGTAATTATATGAAGACTGAGACTAATATCTCAATAGTTGTTTTTAATCACTGTTATTAATATCTCTGTTATATAACTCTCAGTATAACTACTGATGAATAGTTCAAATTCAATTAATATCTCTTAATAAGTTCAGTTCTCATTAATATAATAACATATAACTTTTATAAATGCAAGATTGTTTGTACTAGTTTATACATTCACTGTTTAAGACACTCTTTAATGATTCTTCAACTCTGATTCTAGATATTGTATATTAACTTTGTAGTATATCTTGAGATTGAACTGAAGACATAATTAATATAAAATATGAAGATTTAAATTAAGCATTTCAAGAAGTATTTGAAATTCAGAGTATTCAATTGATCAAAGAGAAAGATTCAGAGATATATACATATAAAGTAATTATTTGCAGAAGTTATCAGATAAGAGTTATGAAATCAGACTACTGATATATAATCATTTTCACATGATTTTCTTTAAATTAGAAAGTTAGTATTATTAAAAATCATTATCTAATAGAGTAACTTATCAGCTCAGTAGTAATTTTCTGATTATTTTTCTTTTATTATCTGCATTCTAATAACTTCAGATATCAGAAAGTTTCAGCAGAGTTATAATCAGTTTATAATAAATATTTCTGAATGAAGTTATAGTAATTATAGTAGAAAGATAACTCTTGAGTAATCTATAATACAATCTGTTAATAATTATTTCATAGTTCATCTTAATATTTGTGTTGAGTTTTTCATAAATTTCATAACCTGAAATCAGATATGAAGAATGAAGTAATTATTTATCATAATTGAAAGAGAGTATCCTGTGTTGAATTGTAAATAATATAGACTTTGTGATTCACAGTAATTTCTTAAAGAGTATATAAATCTTCAATAGAAGTGAAAGAAGTGAAAGAAGTGAATTCAGAAGATATAATAAAGATTTAAGAAAGATAATAATTTATTTTTAATAAAGATAATAACTGATCACTGATATATATAAGAAGAATTATTATAAGAGAAAATAATCTTCTTTCTTAGCTTAGTTATAATTTTAGTACTAACTCAGATTGAATATTATCAATGTATAAAAGTAAATAAATAATCTTGATTAATCTCTATCATATTTCTTGAAATATATTAATATTGTAAAAGAGAGTGTTATTAAATTGCATTCTCATTCTTCTTCTTCTTCTTCTTCTCATTTAAGATAATAATTATCTCAAAATCTCTCTTCACTATCTTCTCAGAGAAGAGTTCTTACTGCTCTCTCTCAGTCAGATTAATCTGTACTTCAAAATCCGGCATTTTCTGATCTGCTGTCTTAGGTTTCATCTCAGTAGTAAGTAGATTGACATGCTCAGAGAGTAGAACTGTCTTCTTAATATTCTGAATTATGAAGTGCATTCAAGATCTGAATAAGATCTTAATTCTCTTCTTCTCTATCAGCTTCTGCTAATTAATTAGAGAACAGAAGTATTATCAAAAATTATTATCTCTTAATAAATAAACAACTTATCAGTTTTAACTTCTTTATCTCTCACTTTAACACTGTCTTAATCTTCTTCTATTATTACTTATTTATAGTAATACTCTTCTTCTCTCTCTCTCTCTTTATCTTAGTCTTTGTGGCGGGCTGCGCCCGATCAATCATATAGACTATTTCATTACACTTCACAGATTTGTACCATTCTGATTCTCGGTCGCTTCACAGATTTCTACTGTTCCGATTCCCGGTCACTGATCCTCAGCTGAAAACCTACAGAATTTCTATTCTTCCGCTCTAAAGCTTCACTGCGTACATCACTGTGTACATGTATAAATATTCACTCTGATCACTGATTTTCACACTTTCTCTTTCTTTCCTTCTCTAACATTTTTTTCTTTGTTATATAAGATCTATATATTATACCAATCTATTCGGCGTAGACCTCTTACACTAGAAAAATGTTCATCATCTTCTTATTAGAAATGATTATTCACATATTATCTCCTCATTAGAAATGATTATTCATTGAGAGATTTCTGAACATGTAACAACGCGTAAGAAAGAGAAACAATCAGTT